TGCATGGGATTATTTCTCCCTAGGTGCAGGACCTTGCACTTGCCTTTGTTGAACTTCATGAGGTTCCTCTCCGCCCAGCTCTCCAGCCTCTCCAGGTCTCTCTGAATGGCAGCACAGTCTTCTGGTGGGTCAGCCACTCCTCCCCACTTTTGTATCATCAGCAAACTTGCTGAGGGTGCACTCTGTCCCTTCCTCCGGGTCATTGATGAATACGTTGAACAAGACTGGACCCAGGACTGACCCCTGTGGGACACCACTAGCTACAGGCCTCCAACTTGACTCTGGTGACACTGACCACAACCCTCGGAGCTCTGCCATCCAGCCAGTTCTCAATCCACCTCACCGTCCACTCATCTAGCCCACACTTCCTGAGCTTACCTAGGAGGATGTGATGGGAGACAGTGTCAAAAGCCTTGCGGAAGTCCAGGGAGACAACATCCACTGCTCTCCCCTCATCTACCCAGCCAGTCATTCCGTCATAGAAGGCTATCAGGTTGGTCAAGCAGGATTTCCCTTTGGTGAATCCATGCTGACTACTCGTGATCACCTTCTTGTCCTCCACATGCTTAATGATGGCCTCCAGGATGAGCTGTTGCATCACCTTTCCAGGGCTGGAGGTGAGGCTGACAGGCCTGTAGTTTCCTGGCTCCTCCTTCTTACCCTTTTTGAAGACTGGGGTGACATTGGCTTTCTTTCTTTTTAAAAAGTTTGATATAGTATATAAACCATCTTATCATAAACAGAAAATTTTACACCAAGGTAATGATAAGTTCCTTCAAACAGAGAGTGCTGTTTTATTATGTGTACAGCATTTCTATCAATAAGACCAGATCATCATTGTTATCTAGATGATAATAGTGAGTACTTATCCTGTCTTTGTGACATTTCAGATGTGTTCATTTTGCTCCATGCTCCAAACCTTTTTCCCCATTATCTGAAACTATGCATATGCAATTATTGCTACCAAGTGTCTTTGAATGTTAAGAACTTTCAATGCAATGAATAAAGCCAGAAAATATACATTACGTTTTCTATTATTTTTGCAAACGTGTTAAAAATGCAGAGAAATTGCTGCTCATGCATAAGCCTTTTTATGTAGTTTAATTGGTTTGTCTTTATTTTTCACGACTGTGTATAATGCTTACTCTGGACACGTTTGTTCTTTTGATATATAATTAGAAGGTGAAGATATTTGCAAATTTAGAAGACCATAGCTTGGGAATATGTTTCTAAGAAGAACTTTATTTTGCCTAAATCACGTTGTAAAAAACCTACAATCTCATTTTGAAAAAAGTGTTTAACAGAAAAGATTTTTTTTTCAGTTGTAGTTTTACAGAATGTGAGGTTTCGTAGTAGCACAGAGAACATTCTGTGGTAAAATATTTCATATATTCATGCTATCTGCATTGGCTTAGCTGTAGAGTTTGGTCTTCTGTTTAGGTTTTCTTTGTGAGCTTTGCGAACAGTTGAGGTAGCCTGCAGGTTGATAAGTATCCCATTAATCTTTTTGATCCTCTAGCACTTGAGCATGAGAATAGCTGATCAATTACAGCAATTGTCTCCCTAAATGAGCTTTTCACATCTGCCTCTTATTTCATTAGTTAACTGTCTACTCATATATCTGATAGAATGGAATCCTAGTGGCTTCTTACAGCTTGTTCTGTGTTACTGTACAATAAGGATGGGGTTGTTAGCAAAATGGGCACAAAAGGGTATTTATCCACTACCCGCAATAAATACACATGCTGTTGTGTAGGAGTGCTTTTGTCTCTAATCACTGTTTGTTGAAACCTACTTAAAGCACATCAGTTGTTTGCTTTTCGGCTTCCTGCTTAGTCCTTAGTTGTAAGCTTTATATTTGTGTATTTATCATTTTTATAACACAAGCAAAATGTTTCCATGCCCTAAACCATCATATCAATGTGTTGCCTACATGTTTTTTGGAAACAGAACCTACCATATTTAAATTTAATGATAGAAAAGTAATTTCCTGCTTGTCTCTTTAGAATGCCTCTTTTATATGCATGGATATGATATCCCTTTCTCAGGAAGTAAATATGCATTTCCAAAGCTGTAAACAAGCATTAACAGTAGTGGTAATGTTATTCTGATTATTCAAATTAAGTACAAAACTGAGCAACAATTACATTGTTTAATTCAAGGTTTGTCTTAAGAAACAAACTGCAAATTATGAATTACAAATTTAATAAAAAAGTTTTCATATGAATGCATCTTTCATTAATAGTCAAACTTTCGATTACAAGAGAATCAGCTACCAGAAGAAAATGTAAATAATTTCTAAACAAAGGCCTCATTCTCTACCTGTTAATATCTGATCAGGTTATTCTAAAGAATTTACAGCATTTCATTTTCAAAGAGTGTTCTTTATATTTAGCATTTATGAAATTGCTTTGGACAACATTTTATTTGAGGGGGAGGGGGAGGGCTAAAAAGTGAACAGAGCTAAATCCCAAAAAGACTTACTTTAAAAACATTCTGGCCTGAATCTGGTGCAGATTATTCCAGGTGATTCTTTGATGCGTCCTGAAAGATTTAGGTGTGTTTGAATCTGAAGTTCTCAGGATATTTGTGCTTGAAACTTATTTCAGTGAGTTTGAGTGATGGAAAGTATACATTACAGAGATTTTACGGAATTTCTAAAACCATGGAGGTATAATAACTAAATATTGGCAACCTGTTAAATTCACTTTTGACTATTTATTGCAGGTCTGGTTTGTATGAAGTCGAGTACTTCAGTGGTTGAACTTGTTATGCTGCTTTGTTCACAGGTAAGCCATTCTCTGGTTTTAACTGTATTAGCTTCTTTACCTAGTAATAGGTTACTGTCAACCCAAGAATTGGGTATTGCTTGTTTCATTCTTCCATTTCAGTATAGGAAAATACAAATTCATGTCATAAGGTGTATTTTTTTCATGTACTGCATAGTATCTCTATATCCATAGGATATACAAAAGATATATGCATTTATTTTTTGAAATATTGAAAAATGTACGTTATTGGGTTTTTCTGTGTATGAACTCTTTCTCAAGCCAGTTCTTATTCAGAAGACATGAATAGGATATCGTTTTCATAATTTTATGTTAAAATTGGTCTTTGAATTAGGAACTTTTAAAAACCTTACTTTGTGGTGATTTTATTACTTGTGGCATACATAGCACAGATTATTGCATATTTTATATAGGAATATAGGAACATGGTTTTAATAGCCCTCCAGAACCAGCAGATAGAGAGCATTTCTACTTTAAAAATGCTGTAGTTGTATTTTTTTAGCATAGCAGTAGTTATTTTGTGAAAAAACTGAAACAATTAAGATTTTGTATTTATATCACAATTAAAATAATCAAAACTAAAACATCTTACAGTGTTTTGATTGTTTACATCCTAATTTTAATTTAATTTCTTTTTACACAAATGTTATTATCTAATTTCATATATTTATAGCCTTTTACCTTAAACTGCCAGTAATAAGTTATCAACAGACATTTTAGAATTTTGCTCATTTTGTATAAGGCAAATAATTGCCTAACAGTTTCAGATAACTTCACAAATTTTTACACTTCTCTAAAGACTTAACAGTATATTACTTACCAGGTTCCCCACAGATTTAAAGTAGCACTTAAACTCATACCAAGTTAGTATATAAAATGCCCAGGATTCCTTGTTACATTACTACCAAGAAAAAATACTTCTTTGTAGTTTTCTGTGACCATTCACTGAACATTGAAAATATACACCAAAACTCAATATATATACTGTATATTCAAACCCAATGAGTTTCTAGAGGTAATTAAAATGAAGATCTACTTTTCAGGAATTATCTGAAAATAATTAACATTTTCAACTGAATTTGGGGGAGGGGGTTCCAACTTACCTGCTGTTTGGCAGTCCGTAGGTTGCATTTCTTCAAGCTTGTGCCATAAGGAAATCATTAGATGTTGTTTTCCTTTTTTTCCTTCCTTTTTTTTTTCTCTTTAGCCAAGATGGATATTGGTTAGGGAAAAGAAAAAGAAAAATACATCCCTGGCAGGAATCCTCAGTGGGGTTTGAACTTCAAACCTTCTCCTGCAGGGCACTTGAAAAATTTGTTACCTAACGGTTAAGTCCTGGGTTCCAGAAAAAATCCAAAAGAAGGCTTTTGAGCCTTATGTTCATGTCATGAAACTTTTGGGTTTTTTTTATAGGAGCTTTTGAAACCTTTACTTTAGGGAAGGAATAACTTACAATCCTTTCGTCCTTAGCCTTTGGTTTTACTGCAGTTCTCAGGAATAAAGTGGAATGTAGCATTAGGGTCTAGTGTCTTTGATGGCCTCATCATCTAATCATAGGTTTAACATTACTCATTTGCTGGCTCCAGGAATTCCTGCCATTAAGGGCCCTAGAGATGAAACTTTGCCTCAAATATTGATTGAAAGGAAGAGAGAGAAATTTAAGCTCCTTCTGCAATGTTTTTTCTTTAGACATCCCAGTAAAGCTATATAACAAATGTAGCTAAATCAATTTGTATTTTTATGACTCTTATGCAAGTTATTTATTGTTTCAAAATAGTCAGCTGACTATTTTTAAAATATGCTTCATTTTATAACTAAAATAATGTAAAGAAAGAGCCTAATCATTTTGAAATTTTGAACATTTATTCAGATTCTCTAATGTGTGTGTGGGAGAGAGCTCTTTTCCCTCTACCCAATTACTTGGAAAAACAGCAATTTTGAATTTTTATACGCCATCTGATATTTTAGAGTTGTTTCCTTATCTTCTAAATAAGGAAAAATTTGTATCCTGCTGCCTTTTTATTACCAAGTAATTAAGAAGCTAATGCTGTAACATTGTTCGTGGAATGATACTAAGTGTTTCTAGAGGAAATGGTCAATAGGGGGCTGTAGCAGTGCAAATTGCCTTTTCCTCCCCTCATCTTTACCAGCTGTAAACAAGTCGCTTTTGTAAATTGTATCTGCACAGGATATTGTATTTCATCCTATAGGTGTACCAAACAATCAGGCCTGCAGTTCCACTCATCTGCATGAAAAATTTAGATAAACTGTCTATTTCAGTTTTTAAAACTAATTGCCAAAAGAAAACACTAGATAAATGCCACAGAAGTACTACTAGAACATGATGTATAACATAGCTACAACAGAAAAGAATAGCAGATAGACAAAAAACATAATCCAGTGTATAACTAACAGAACTGGGAATTAGGAGATTAGGAGTTAGTGTCCTCAGGAAATGAGATTAACTCATTGCTATAAAAAAACGGACAGGACTTACCTGATCTTCTCCATAAGATGAGACGAGTACTGCAGAATGGAAAGACTATGTATACTGTGCTTTTTTAGTAAACCTAGTGTAACTAGGGCTTTTCTTCCTTACATGGGTAAATTTTTCATATTCAAATTGAATGACTTTTTGCAGATTATGTGGAGAAGTTTGAAATGTGTGTCATTCAAAAGATGGATGACGGTATTAAAAACCTTTGAAAAGTACAATTTTGTGTACGCAGAACCGAGTAACTTTAGACATTGAAAAGGAAAGGGAAATGCAAAGTTTGTTTTCCTTTCATTTGCTACAGCAAATTAGATGCTTTTATGCTCTTTATGTTGGAAATTCCATGTTAACGACTACAGATTAGCAAGGATGTCAGAATTTTTTTTCTTATCTGAGCTCCTGAATAAACTCAACATTGCCAGCGGCTCACGTCCAAGGTATGGTCTAAATTTACATGAAATATCACATTACAAATGTCTGAAGGTACATGTCATGGATAATTCAGTTCATATGGGCAGCCTTTTAGACTCTGAGGGATATGCAATCAAGTCTTTCCCCCCAAAGGAATTTGGAGTTTCTGTGAAAAATACATTTTAAGTTTTAAAGGAACTCCTGTAGGGATAGTGCATCATTTGTGAGCTTGAAGAAGAAGAAAAAGTTCTACTCTTTGTATTTTCAGAACATCTCTCATATTATAACGTGCTTCCTCTCGAAACATTTTTTTGTTTCTCCTAGGATCACCCATTTCATTAGACTAAAAATGAGATTAATTTGAGAGCTTCATTTTGTTTTTTGTATTTCCTATATAAACTAAAAGCATACATTCCTGAACTTGGAATGTTTTTTTCTGGGAAATTTATAATAAACATGTAATGATTTTCACCTTCCATAAGCCAGACATTTTCATTTGAAATTAGTACTTTTTAACATAAAATGGATGAAGATGTATTATGTTTGACAAGATCTGTGCTTGACTAGCTAGTCTGTGTTCCTTCATCTAGTTGTGCATGTCACAGCTGTGTTGCTGTTTTGCGTGGCAGGTTTTTTAAATAAACCATAGAATTAAAAAAGTACATTAATTTTTGCAGGGTGGTTCCTTGTCAAAAGCAGATTTAGTTTTCAATAAAGTTGTTATTAATTTTTTCCCCAAACACTGCAATAATTTATGATTAATTCCAGATCTTCTACAAGTTTTTCCCTTTGGAGATGCAACTTCTGCAGAAACTGAGTGATGTTATCCCAAAGGAGTCTTGTCATATACGACTTGTATTCGTCTATATCTTATCTATTGGCAGAGGGAATTTATTTTCTTAAACACCTTACTACTACACCTGTTCAAAAATGCAACTATTATAATGAATAAATGATTACTTTAGAAAGAAATGCTCTATTACTTGCAATTCTAGAATACATGGGGAATATCTGACAAATTTCAGAATTTAGTAGTTTTCAACACATCATTTATTCCATTAATTTCACCTCCCTCCACGTTTGATCAAGAAGTTTGATCAAGATCATAATTCAGGAATCTCCAAAGGAAATATCGAAACTAGAATGAAAATAGTCTGCTCCTGAATCAGTGTGTTGAGGAAAAGTATTTCTTTTAGATGCTATCCATTATAAATAAGCTTTTACAAAAAGACTGTTTTAGAAGTGAGGAAAAGGAATATCACATGTAACCAAGAACATATTTTACTTAAGACTGGCAATTAAAACCTGTTAAGGAGATTCTCAAATAAATGTTAATGCTCAAATGATCCTTCTTATAATTAAGCTATAGGTAGCTTCTGTAGATAGTTTATTTTTATGAAAAGCTATAGAACAGGAAGTGTCTTAGAGAACAAACTATACTAAGACTATATCCATAACTTTACATAACTTGCATAACTAATATGTAATTAATGGATAAAGTGGACTTTAGCTAAAGCCTTTCAAACTTTGGTTAACGGTGTTAGGTTCACAGATGAGTCATGTCCATTCAAATTGTCTTTTCTGTTAACCTGGAAAGTTAGAAAGTGCTTGGTTTGAATCCAGTCTCTCCCTGCATATCACAAACAGCCGTGCAGTACATACTTAGTCAAAAAGGATCTGTAAAAGATCTACTCCCATGCAGCACAGTCAATAGGACTCTCCAGGAGTTTGACACATGTAAAACTTAGTAGTTCTATAATATTTTCTGTCGCAATTGTAAAGTGCCAAAATGACAGGAAGAGGAGGATGGAAAATGAGTGCATTGCCATTTGTCCTTAGTGAATATGACAAGAAAAAATTTGAAACAGTATCAAGAAATTAATCCCACTCCAAGGAAAACGAAAATCTGGTGTCCCGTGACAGTCAGAGTTGAAAGGAAATTCTCACTGAGCAAATCTGGTGATCACTAGCTCTGAGAACATACACAAGACCCACCAACCAAGCACTGGGAAGATTTCAATACTAAATGCACTAGTATGCCTAAATGGGCATCCCCCACATCAAGGTATGGTGTATCTCTTGGGCTTCAAAGGCT